GTCCCAGAACCGGTTCTGGTGTCACTTGCCACCGCTCACAGTGACAGAGAGTCGAACGCGGGTGGCAGGGTGGTCCATAGTGCATCGCGCTAATCGCCGTACCAGAGCTCCATCGTATACAAGTCCATATTTTCTAAAAGTGCGAAGTTGCCTGCATTTGTGAAAACAGCCCGTCTGTTTAACAACTGCCCCAGGTGATTTGTTCAGCCGGAGGGGAGTTGTGTGGGTATGTATCGCCTATGGTGGGACACAGGTGTGTGTGTGTGTGTGATGGGGGGTGAAAGATGGAGTGGCTTTCCGAGGTGATAGCTGCGTGGTGAAGTATCATTACACGCCAAAAGTATTGTTCAAATGCACCGATGCATGACCAAAACTATGTCATGCAACCGTTCCGACAGACCTCACAACCAGACGCGAACCAGCACTGACTTAAAATACGTTGCACATATCTGTAAACAAAGCGTCACATCTATCTGCCTAATTTGCCTTCCAGCAAAACACAAAACAGGCGACAGTGGATAGCGCGATTCAATTTGTAATAATCGTTCCCCCCCCCCCCCAATAATCTATATTGCCCATCTCGTTTGATCCCAATTATCCTGCAGAGTAACATTTGAATGTGATTATGAATAATAATCTGCAACATTGCGAGCAACACGCACGATTCGACGCGTTTGTCGCGAGAGTAAATCATCTGTTCAGTGCGGTACAATTGTCGCTACTTGCTTATTAGTTAAATAATGGAGAGAGTAGGGTTCCCAAATCACGACTATAGTACTCTTTCCTCCTTCACCAATATTCTGCAAACACAAATGGTCTAGTCTTTACACACGCTGCACGTACCTGATGATTGGGCAACATGCGATTATTTTATTTGTAGCTATAGTACAATTTAAACAGTATTAATTGTCAGCATTGTTTGTCGTTCAATACCTTTATTTGTATTCGAATGGATGACCGCGGTAGGTCGCGAAGAGTGTGATGTGGGGAGCCTTGGGATAGGAACAGAGATGTAGCGAAGTCTAAAATCCTCCGAACATTGAGATGCACTTACCATCAGAAGCGTGTTTCCATGCTGCGCACTGCAACTCTTCCGTGAGGCTTCCAAACCGCATTTTTACACCAAGCGGGAATCTCCTGACACCTCAAATTTTTGGTATCCACAGATTTTTAATTTCCCGATAAGTCACCACCTTCAATTGCCGTTTTCTCTGGATCAGAAATATAATCTGCTCCTTCAAGCAGGAGGCACCCAAAACGTGTGCTGTGCGTCAGTTAAGTTGTACAAAATACGGTATCTTCTATCTATATAAATAAAAACCTTCATCTGTATGTCTCAAAAACCTCTATGGTACTTCCCGACATGGCAGAAAGCTGAACTTTTCGGGCACAAACAACAGGAAAAATCAGAAAAATCGTAGCTTTTTCATTTTAAGGCCCCCAAGTCTCGATTTTGATGTGTCACATGAACATGCTTGTGCGTGTCATTCAGAAACCGTTAAAAATATAACATTGCGTTTTTTTGCGTTTGACAGAGCATTAAACAGAAAATAAAATGTAATCAATAACTATTGTTCCATCTTTTATTGTTTTTGAGATATTTCCGATTCAAGTGGTTTTGAACGAAAAAATATGCATTTAATGTTCAAATCTGAATAATTAGAAACCGACGAAAGATAGGAGCTTCCCCTCAAAGAGTATTAAGTTAATTGATGTGTTTCTCTTTATAATAACAACAAAGAACGGAATCATTAAGTTGAGTGGTTTCCAATGGGTATATCTCTAAATATAACAAGTTGAATGAATACATCAACAATTTTTTTTCAGAAAAATGCACATTTTTGGAGTAGTTATTATTGTATGATTGTAGATAAAAAATTGTAATAAAAAACCCATCTAGAGTTCATTATGATATTTATTTAAAACTTTTTTCCCGGCGAAGACAAGCTTTTGAACTAGTATGATATATGTGCCTGAGTGGCATGCCTTACGTCCATCGAGTGAGAGATCGAATCTGTATCTACAACCCAGGCTAATTTGCCTACGAAGTACTGTGCGGTGCATCATTATATACTGTGTTCACGCCCGTGGGCCGTGCCACGTCTCCTGTCCTGTCTGTAATTGGCGTTTGATTGAATGAGCATTTTTTTTTATGGAAATCAACCGCGAAATGTTAATTGCAATTTAACGATCAGAGCCTTCTGTAGACAGAGTAATGGAAGCTGGATTTGGCAGCAGCCCCTGTGTTTTACGTATGGGTCGCGTTTCACAACAAAACACACATGTGGCGCAGCGTGCATGGCACGAGCCTTGCCGTGATGCAGGAATACAATTGTCCAAGTTCTCCCCTTGTCAAGGAATCAAGGAGTTGAAGTTCATGGAAATAGCAACTATGGTCGGAGAGAAAACTATGCCACTGGCCGATGATATTTCTTATTCACAATGTGCCCCGCTACCCCAAAGTCTGGTTTTCACGTCACGGTGGCGAGATGTTAAAACATCGCCTGGTATACAGGAGGCCGTAGGTTCGATCCCGACCCCGATTTCTGTATATTTGGAGTTGCATGTTCTCGTGTGGACTTTTCTCTGGGTGCTGCGAGTTTTCCCTCCACGCTTATAAACATGCATTGGGAGTGTTTCGCTGCGATACATTTCCACGTAATACGCCACTTCTTTGAGCTATCATTTGTGGTCAGGTCGCTTCTGAAAAATAGCTATTTTGCTCAATGGGCCTTACCCGACAAAATACAACAATTGGTTTAGTTTCCATTAACTTCTTTTGCAGTTCAACGCAGCACAACATGCTTACATCGTGCGTGTAAAGGTGCAGGGTTGTTTAACAAAGCAATTCAGCAAATGTGATTACGTGTGTAGTGACATAGAATCGCTCACGTGGCAGCACAGCGCTGGCTGCTGGCTGGGAAGGGGAACTGCAGCTTGCAGCAGCCTTGACTGACAGCAGGCCACGTGATAGACCAGAAAGGGATGTAGGGGAAAGGTCACGGAAAGGGCACATCGAGAACCCCCTGGTAGGTTCCAGAAGGGGGCGTCGCCAGGGGCGTGGCTGGGAGCGGAGCCAGGCCACGCCCCCCAGTATAAGAGGGGCCCCGGGAGGGGAGCTCGGGGCTGTCGTTTGAAGTGGGATCCCGTCGTGCTGCTGGAGTCTTCACCGTTCTTCTTGTTTGTTGTCTTCACCGACTCGGCGTCGCCAGTCAGACAGTCTACCAGCTGCCCTGACTGGGGACCATAGTTACCAAGTGTTATTGTCAGGCCGTATAGTAAACAGAGTGCCTCCTACTCTTCGTGTCTCTGAGTCAGTCACTACTGGTGTATGCCCCGTGTAACGTATCGAACGTTTATTCGAATCTTCATTTTCATGTGGCTAATGATGATGTAGACACGTAGAGCAACAACGATGATGTAATTATATTGAGGTGATCGAGCCAGATAAATTCCGCAGAAGTCGCGCTGTGTGTCGCGAATCGAATCGTGGCCTGTTCTGGGTGGTGACCACAGTCGCACATTGACAGGGGATTTTATTGATTTATTTCCCATTTGTGAATCATCATCAATTATATTCATCTGCATTTGCTGCCACGCTTTGTGCAGTGGATGTGGTGTATTGTTGTGGCCCATCTTCTCCGCTGTCGGGTTTCTCACGAGGAGGCGTTTGTTTGTGGCTTCTTGTGAATTCCAACTCTGCTTTCCAAGAATCAGCGGCAGTGTAGCGCTTCCCGCTCACGGCCAACACCAGTGACGATTATCTGAACCGGTCCTGGCCCTCCCCTAGGTCGACTCGGCCTCAAATTAGTGCCTGGTGCGGTGTTTTAAACATCGCCACTTGGGAGACAAAGGCGTCCGGGCGTGGTGTTGGCCACCCACCCCCTTGTGTGTCGTGCCGGCCTTCATAGGTGCTCGCTAACAGCACTTGCCCCAAAAGTCTTTTAAGGCTAAATTGAAGATCTTGGACTTTGTACGTGTGTGTCCCATGCGACGAAAGCGCGCCTATTTAAATACTACACTATAGAAGGACCTGTGTACGTTTGTCCCACGTGATGTAGTGAACATAGTTCTGCTTACAATGCTTCATATATATTAGAGAACGGTTGGTGTATTTGTGTACGTGTGTCCCATGGGGCATAGGAGTGCTGATTATAATTAATATCGAGAACGTGTGTGTGTGTATACGTGTGCGTTCGTGTCCCATGTGACGTGGAGAGCGCTGATTCAGTCAATGATAGCTCGTGCGCACGTGTCCCACGTGACACAATGTCGATTCAAATTAATCAGCACCCCTTCACGTCACGTGGGACGAGTTTGGCAATCGGTCACGTGGTACATTTAAGACTGCCTTGAATGTGAGTAAATTGTTAAAACTCAGAAATACGTACGTGATGAGGGCAATGAAGTAACTATGAAACAGACACAAATGTATTTTGTAATTTTATTCCATACCGTCCAAACTATAGGGTGCAACGGATGCGAGTAAAATTGTTAATTTTACATCATTACAATAGCCCCGACGGAGAAAACACCAATAGATTACAGCTAAACCATATTTTTTAAAAAGTCTAATTTTTATTTAATGATATGGTCAACTACAGTACTGTCAGCCATGCTTTAAATTGGCCATTCAGTGTTAGCCTTGGCTAAGCTGATGTGGGGTCTATAATTAGGACATCCGTTTCTGAAGCAAAATTATACAGCGCACACCCAGTACACAGTAATTCAAAGCTAATGCACGACTATATGGTTTGTCAACTCATGGCAATGATTTACAATCTCCCAACAGAGAGCTATAACCACTGGCTCAGCCGATAAGCACGATCAATAGCCTACTAAATAACTCCCGCCACAAAAAGAAAACAGCAAAAAAAAACTGCAGCGCTTGAGAACAAATTGACAACGCTGGTGCCGCTTTATATTTTAAGGGAACGACAGTCTCACAGAAAAAAATTACGAACGCTTTGTGCTATCCAGACATATCCATCCAGCCCCCCCCCCCCCCCCCCCGTCTACAGACCTGTCACGCATGCAGCCGATAACCACATCAGAGTTAAGACTGTCTTGAATGAGAGTAAATCCAGTGCATTGTTCAACACACAATGGGAAAAAAGTGCACGGCTCACCAAGGAAGGTGAGATTATAAGAGGTGAGCAAGGTGCATCATCATTGGATTTGGAATCTCACTTTTCTCTGTTAGCCGCGTGTATTTTTGTCCGCTCACACAGATGTATTTTTTTTATCAACAACCTGCGTCCCAAAAGTGATCTGTGTCATTATTTAGGAATGTATAATCAGCATCATTGCCATGACATAAATATATAAATGTACACCCCCGTCCTTGCCAATTGACTGCTGGATGAAGGCCTCCCCGTGTCATGTTGGTAATGGGAGTTGTTTGACCATATTTCACCAAGGCGGTCAGTGCAGATTTGGTGAAAAAAAGGAGTGGTCCAGGCTCATTTCAATTACCACTTATCACTGATGTTAGCCATAGCTGGGAATCAAACTCAGGTGCTACGTTTATAGTGCAGTGCTTCCAGCCACTTTGCCATCACTCTGCCCACCATGCCATCACTCGTAAATATGTTTGAACTAAATCATGGATCCCCCTTCTGGCATGGAAGCAATACCTTGGTAAGGTCCCTTGCCGACAACCAGGGTCAAACCTCAAGCGACTGCTTGAAATGCACACAAAGGAGCGATCAGATAGTGCTGTAAACAGTATATTAAAAAGGTACAGCGTACACTTACACATTGGAAGCTTACAGTACGTCTCACTACATTAGCCTGCGCGCACCAAGCCGGTAAATCTATTTTATGGTTCGTACGTAACAATGCGCCATCATAATAGCTTATTAGGCCGAACATTTTATGGATATACGATAAATAAAGTACAAGAACACACACCCTCTGCGACTTTTTCAGCATCGCCGTCATAAAACATTTTTTTGTACCATCCCTCGTGCGCGTGCCGTTTCAGAAGAATACAAAATCAGGAGAGAAGAAAAAAATTGTTTGCAAAGCGCTTTACACAAAGGGCACACAGGACGTGGCACAAAACAGACAGGTGGGCAGGGGTAAGTAGTTCATCATCTCAGGTAACGAGTGACACCTGGGCCTGCTGCGCCGTCTCGTTATTGCTGTCCCTGGGAGCCCGGCGATGGGGATTGCATCCCTCCTCTGCCCGTCAGGGATTGTTCCTAATTGTTGTTTATTTCTCCACCCCACCCCCGCACCCGATTTCTACCACCTCGGCGATTCCCCGAACGATGACAGTCTGTCACCATCATCTTGTTTGTTCAAATCATCATTTTCTCTCACCCCATCGCTTTCGTCCCGTGGCAGGTTACGTCATTTCAGCGTGGTGGTCTCTCTTCGGGCGACTGCCAAGAAGAAGGGCCGCAGTGAATTTTATTTGTCATGGAGAGGAGGCGAAGGGGGGTATGGGTATCAGAAGTGTTGGCTGAAGAAGCTCACCACGCGATTTCACTGCGACATCTACCACGCAATCCATGGAGTTGGTGACACGGGTTCGGCCTGTGCTGTGGCCCACTTGCAACGATTCGGAAGTTCCTTGAACAACACCAAGCGATTCATTCCCATTGAAGAAAACTGATCATATCTATTAGACAATAAATTGGATATGTTCCTTCTCACATACATTGTCACATTTGTGGGAATTGATTTACCATGATTTATTTAAATGTGTATACAAGCTACATGCTACATGCTAAGTAGGCAAACGCAACTCTACAAACAAGATAGAAAGAAAGAGAAACAACACTAACAAGATGATAAAATGGAGACCAATAAAAGTATTTTTGAAACGTGACCCTCAATCTTGGAAATGAATCAAACCGAAGTGGCGTTGTTAAATTAATATGTGCCAACCAGTTGTTAATAATCTTCTACTATTTGTAAAGCCGAATAAATGAGAGCCCATGAGACAGAGTAGTCAAGAGGATCGTTCGTTTTTCTTCGCAGGTCACCTCGCTTTGTCTGCAGGGAGGATTCTCCTTATAACGACTGGCGACCCACAATGCACACATCAGCTGTGATCTACCGGAAAGCGCATGCCTTCACGCTCAGCTGCAGGTTCTTCACGCAGCCCTGGCCATCGATAGGCATACCAGCCTTCCTGCCCCCAGTCTGAGGCATCACCAAACCGAGATGGCTGATCGCAGACCTCTTGTAGGGCTCCGCTTTAGACGTCCTGCGCAGACGGTGCAGGAGGGGGTGCAGAAGGGGGTGCAAGTCGCCGGACGGTCGGCCCGGCTGCAGGACCCTGGTCAGCGAACGCCTGCAGGGAGCCGCTCGGTGCGGACTCTGCTGCGGCAAACCGCACGAGTCGTGGCCCGGGTGTCTCCCGTACGCTCCGGCGGGAGCCGGTCGGACAAAAGCTCCCGCGGCGTCCGAATCTTTGAGGAGGCAATTGGCATCGCTGGGAGCCGGCAAGCTTGTAAAATGGCGGCAGTAGCCGCTGCAGCTGCAGCAGCAGGAGGAGCAGCAAGGAGACTTTGTCGGGTTGACGTGGAGTTCCCCCGGAGGGCAGCTCCTGGGCTCCGTCCTCGCCGCACTCTGCGAGTTTTCGTCTCGATTGTCAGCGAACTCCGGCAGGCCGTCGTCGGCGAGGCCTCGCTCCGGGTCGCAGTAGCTCGGGTCCCAGGGGTCGCACGCGAAGTCCAAGCAGGCCGGCAGGCTCGCCGCGGGGCCCATGGCGCGGTGAGCCTCGCACGCATCCGGGAACTGCACGAAGGAGCGCAGCGCCCGCTCGGCCGCCCGCCGCTTGGCTTCGCGCTTGCTCCCGCCGGCGCCGACGAAGGTGGTGCCGTTGACCTCGACGGCGAGCGTGAAGCGCGGGGCGTGGGGAGGACCCGTGTGCGATGCCAGCTGAAAGCTGAGTCCCGGCCTCAGCTCGTTGAGGTGCGACAGCGCCGACTTGGGCGGCGGGCAGAACGGAAGCGAGGATTGGAGCGCGTGACGCCTCCGTCTGCAGGTCCGCCGCAGCTTCCACCTCCTCCTCCTGCCGCTGGCCTTCCCAGCCACGCGGATCTTAGGCACCACCGTGGCAGCCGGCGCCTGCCTCGTGCCCCCCTCTTCTTTCGACGGAGAAGGAAGAGGAGGAGGCGGAAGTGAAACGGTAGAACTTGAGGGTGAGGTGACGCTGGAACTTGGGTTGCTGACCGAATCGGCCGGCGCGACTTCTGCGGAAAGGGTGGGCGGTGGAGGTGGGCGAGTCTCCTCGCCATCGGAGAGGGCGTAGTTTTCCTTGACGCTGCCCGAGCCTGGAGCACACACAGACGAATACAAGTGTAATGTCAATAGAGCCTGCATGCGGTGTGAGGGGACTAATGGCCACGGGAGGTAATGTCAGGGGTATCAGTTGCGAGTGTGAAGGGACTGGTGGCTACGGGAAAGTTCGAGAAGGCAGCGTGGTCAGGTGACGGAAGAGGATGGCGGAGTCTGCCAGTAGAGGGAGCGTCCAGAGTCAGCGAGAATGATCGAGAAGGTGGGCATGGCCTCGTGTCGGTATAAAAGGGGGAGATGCGTGGGAGACTCGGGGCTGTTGCAGTGGGGGTCTCCGCCTGATGTTAAGTGACCGTGTCTTCAATAAAGTGCCATCTCAAGAGAAGTGTGTCAAGTCGTCATTACAAAGGGACAAAGGTGCCCCACGAAGCCTTCACAGATTGTGGGGTGGGGGGCAATTAATGTAAGTGAGGACCTGTTAAGGCCGACATGGCGCACAAGGAGGTGGTGTTGTGAACACCACACTGAGAGGCCTTTCCTTACCAAGGGCTAAAGTTTACACGCCACGCCAGGTGCTTCACTTGAAGGCCGATTCAATCCAAGGGATGCCCAGGGCTGTTGACGATATTCGTCACTGACGTTGGTCGTGACGGGAATCGAACTCGGATCGCCAATTTGTAACACCGTGCGCTAACCACTACGCTGCCGCTTCCCGTAAAAAATATATACATGCACATCAACACACACACACATATATGCGTACACACATGGATATACAACAACATCAACAACCGCCGTTCGCCACTAAGTAGCGGTGACGTCACAACGACCCTTATGCCAGGCAAGGTGCACCTTGCATGTACATGGAATCACAAAAAAGATGAAGATCCCCGTATAGCCTGTAGGGGCAAGTGCTGTTAGCGAACACCTATGAAGGCTGGCACAGCACACGAGGGGGTTGGTGGCCAACACCAGGCCAGGCCGCCTTTGTCTCCCTAGTGGCAATGTTTACACATCACACCAGGTACAAATTTGAGGCTGAGTCGACCTAGGGGAGGCCCAGATAATCGTCACCGGTGTTGACCGTGAGCGAGGATCGAACCAGGTGGCCAGGTTCGTAGCACAGAGCGCTATCCGCTACACTACTGCTCCCCATACATGGAATCACACACACAAACACTTACATGCGCACGTAAATTCGCACGCATGCACTTGCACTCGAATGTAAAATCATCACAGGTCTACAAGGGGAATAATCTGGCCATTAAGTTTCACAGCCTCGTCTTGTCTAAATGACACGATAATACATATTGTCAATTGACAAAAATAATAAAATCAAAACAAACGTAACAAAAAAATGCATTCACATCACCAAGCAAGTGTGCATACGACCCCAATTACTGTGAAACGTAACGTTACATTTCTGGAAAATAAGTCAGGACACACATATGTAGCGGGCAGATTGCATGAAGAATGGCGAAATACTTTTCTGCAAAGAAAGTGAAAATATTTCAATTGAGAATAGCACCGCGCACAATTCCCTACCCTGCACATGCATGCGTGGTCACTCAAGCCCCAATTGTGTTGAAGCGGTGGGATGTGGTGGTGGGGTGGGGAGCGGCATTTTAAATCCCCATGGCAGATCATTCGACAGGCTTCAATTTTGGAACCAGTCTTTTGTAACCATTCTTCAACCTGTATTTCCAAACGTCTGCTCTCTCCACCCCACTCCACAGGGTCCCCTCTTCCTTGCCTCCTCACCCCACCCCGCCCCCCCCCCCCCTCCCGCTGTGAAAGGTGAGAATTCAAACTCACTCGTGTCGTCTTCGTCATCCCGGGGCACGGAGTGGATTATTCCGGTGAGTTTATCTAAACAAAGAGCAACATAGCACTTAATTATACCGTGTGAGTGTGCGCGTATGTGTGTGTGTGTGTCCCGCCTCCACCCACCGCGTGCGTTATTCCAACGCAGAAACACAATCACTCACACTTATCGCAGATTGTCGAAAATTAATGCGGAGAGTAATGGACGTAAAACCTTATTAACAAACACAGGACACTTCGCAACAATGCAAATGGCAAAGATAATGGACCGCATTCCTACTTGTATGTGCGCAACAATGCTGGAGTGTCTAGTCGAGACAAAGGTGATGTTAGTGAACATATTTTTCCATGGTCTGGTGTCTCTCGCGAGTTCATTTGGCAACCTGTTGTATGGCGTGTTTGAATCACGCAATTCGCAACTGCGCCAAAGGATGGATATAAGCACACTCATTGGGAGCAAGTCCATCTGTGCTTATATGTGAAGTAGTGTGCTGAGATGAGAAGTTGCCTATTGCCACCCCCAGTCCCAAGGAGTGTAAAGTAAGCATGTGTTGCTTATATCAGAACTGTGCTTATATAAGGTGTGCTTACTTCCAGCCCCCGCTGTACTACAATATCATCGTCGAGTTCTACAGACACTGCCGTCAGGGGGGTTATTGGTCGTTCTGCAGTAAAGTACGTTAACATCTTGCCATAACATTTTGTGTTTGCCATTTATTTATGTACATATAGACAAAGACTCCCCCCCCGTGTCGCATTAACAGACTGTTGGGGCAAGTGCTGTTAGCGAGTACCTATGAAGGCCGACGCGACACACGAGGAGGTGGGTGGCCAGCACCACGTCTTCCCATTGACGATGTTTACACACCACCTCAGGTACTTATTTGAGGCTGAGTCGACCTAGGGGAGGCCCAGGACCGGTTCAGATAATCGTCACTGGTGTTGGCCGTGAGCGGGTTCGTAGCACAGCGCGGTAACAGTTACACGACCGCTCCCCACACATTTGTATATATACACACAGTAACTTTAGTGGGAATCTTTAAACAACACAAATATGGAACAGTGGCATTTAGCGATTCGCCCCACGCACCGCCCCTCCCATTGATTTGATTAATCGACATAATTGCATGGTTGTGATCCAATTCAAGACTCAATTGCTCCTGTAATATGTATCTATCTCGTCTGCACACGAGTGTTCACCACGTGCGCTTAAATGCAACGGTTACATTATATCGTTTGCAACAAGGCGTAAATAACACGTTCTCACGCACCCAATTGTTAAGCTAGTGAATTGAAGCGGCATTACATGCCTCTTGGTCAGCTGAAGTATTCATTACGCATGGGTGTGCGCGGTGCGTCCATTTAGGTTTGCATGTACGCAGGTCGCGAAAGGCTGTTAACAAATCACCATCGGCTGTCGCGACCAATACGGATGATATTGGTGGTGAAAGCCTACGTGTTAAACAAATCGCCCAGAATGATGCCCGATCTTGTCAGACATTGGCAGCTAAGTAGAGTTGAGTCTGGATGGTGCCGAGGTGGGGTGACCGCAATGCTTAACAAGTGTTTTAGGCTGCTGCGGTACTGTCTTGCCAGCAGTGTGAGTGCAGAAAAACAAACCATTGTTGTACTACACTGGTCTACAACATATGTGCTTCCTGTCTTTACCAAGGTGCATTGAGCAGCGCGGTGAAGTATGGTCAAAACCAAAAACCCATGACCCTCACAGCGTCGGGAGACACTCATCCAGCAGTGTTTTTTGGCAAAAGGGGGCTGTGTACGCGTGTGCGTTCAATGCCACAAATTGCCGCAAATTGCCACCCCGAGTATGTCAGTCAGGTCGGAGCCGCAGGCAAGTGCTCAATGTTAATGGCAAAGGTCACTCACTCTTGGCTTTGTCACCCAGTCAGAAGGAAAGAAAGAAGGAGCCAAAGTGAATCGCAATGTCAGGTCCGTCGTGACGACCGGCTCGGCGTTGCGAAGAACCCCTCTGAAATTGTCGCGGCCCCCGCGCGGCACTGCATGGGTCCCCAATTGGCAGGTAGAGCCGGCGACAAGAGGCTGGCACTTTACGAGGCCGAGATCGACTTGCCTTTAGAGCTAAAGCTGAGCCGCACGTAATGGCAAATTGCCACCATTCACTTGGATGGAAAAATGCAATTAGGGTGAGGGATTCTTTTTTTTTTTACCCCCTTCTGCAAGTATGACCGGCTTTGAAATTTCATTTACAGCTTTGTAGATAGCCACAAGGGACCCCGCGAATTGCAGTAGTTACGTTTATGTACTACAAAGGAATCCATATAGTCCTTTCAGAGTTTAGAAAAAAATTTCTGAAAGGCAATTAAATCAAACTCCAAATTACGCATACAGGCACGTCTGAACAAAAAAATTGTGGCAGCAGTTCTTTGACCACAGCTCACATTTTCCATTTTTTTAAGAACAGCTTGAAAACAATTACCATCACAAGGGATTCTGTGTCTTAAATGAAAGCTTTACAGCAGCCATCCGCAAGTTTTGATAATTACTCATCGATCTCCCCCATCACCTTCCACCGTTTCCTTTTGTTAACCGCAATCATAGAAAAAAAATCGCCCTAGAACATAACGCCAAGTAAGGTCAGCCAGAGGTCAGCGACACTTGGAACTTATTGGAAGCCCAAAGTGCACCTCACGACGTGAGTTTTTTTTTAAAGAGGCTATTTTTTTTCCTCCCTCCATAAAGGTTATACTCGACTTAAAGCAAGCCGAAATAAAACGCAGCGAAAAGCCGGAAATACATCGGCAGCCATGCACGAGGGCGATCAACTGCACTTACGAGAGCGAACGAGTCTTACGGTCAAGACTAAAAAACATCGCGCAAAATATCCGACAATCTTAAAGCGTAGAATGTATGTACTCGTACTCTCCGTTCATCAATTCGCCCACATCGCCACGCCACTCCACCTTTAGTTCTTTGCTGCACGTAGCCATTCGCAAGGCGCTGTCGCTCTCTGCGGGAAAATAATAATAATGAATGGGACTTCAAAGAAGTGTAAATTGGCTTGCAGGTATACATCAGGGCGCCTTAGTTTGGCTCTCTGAGCATTCATGCACGCACGCTACAGCTTGATCATATTTAGCGTCGAGGGATGCGGACCCGTTTCGCGGAGAGTGATTTGCACCTGCCAGATGCACGCCCATCAATGTCACCGCCCGCGACAACAGATGCCAATTAGCCACGTAACGCAAATTCATTGGTGCGACGGTCTCAAGCGGGCGATGACACTTCACGTGCCGGGATCAATCACGGCCACTGGGCACCTCACGGAGCACGCCACTCGTTGTGTTTTGTCGGTCCACGCTGCGCAGACCCCCCCCTCCTTCCTCCCTCCGCTACATTCACCTGATGAGAGCCCACCTCCTCCCAGGCGAATAAAGCAAACGCTCTAATTCATCATGTGCTCCTGCACCCCTTCACCTGCAGTAAACGCGTGCGGTAATCAATTACTGACAGCGTGCAAAACGTATAAGCCAATAACATGAGTATTGGGTCCCAAGAAAGCGATTTGACGAGTCTTGTAACTTGGTGTGGTGGCGGTGTGGACACGTGATCACTGGGGCCAATGCAATGGAGCAGTGGTTGATCCAACTGGCGCTAAGAGACTGTTAATTAGGCTCCACAAATAATTACTGAATGGCAGAGCATGCAAGGATAATTAAGGGGTTTGGCCAACTGTTGTACTCAATGCTGCTGATTGAACATAACCATTCACTGCCACGTCTCCAGGCTTCCTTTGTTCAATGTTCTGCGTCTATATCCATGTTTATGATTAACATGTCACAGTAGGGCATATACACAGTTTAAAAGCTTTCTTGTGCTTTTTTTCATTATTAAGTTCATTTTTTTTTCTAGAAGGACACCAACCTCCTCTTGTCCACCCATTTATTTAATCAATTTCATCCTGACCTGTCTTCAACAGCTGCCCGAGGTATACATACAGCACTCTGATTTGTACAGATGGTGACAGCTTGGCAACACTTTCATCCAGAAGTGGATAAAGCATGGCTGACATCGATGCTATGTGCACGAAATTAATTGATTGCCTTATGATGTACACATTTAAGGTTTAACAACGGAACCGTTTGATGAGTTGGAAACCGTGCAGTGTGTGTCTCTTATTCTTGTTGTGTTCAGATTTGGTCCATGTCATTTTGTAGAGAAGTGTCTCTTATGAACCGGGCAATTTTTACCTGATTAAATAAAGTTACCGTGACTCCCCACGGTGGGAGCTGGTGACGTGATGGCATCGTGATCACGTCAGGGACTCCTGATGGGGCACCTGATGGGGTTGACACTTTAATGATCACTCTTTCTCTCTCCTCCAGTCATACATTACGGTCATAACGTCACTTTAACAGAAGCCGGTGAAAGCAGGGGGAAGAACACGGCTGAGGAGTGCCACTTTCCGCCCGGTGGACGTCTACCACATTCTATGTGTCCGTCGGTGAAAATTGCTTCTTGACCTCATTTCCCGGTGGTCGACACGCTATCCGTCATTCCGAGGGTCAAGCGTGCGGGGAGAGAAGGGGCGTGTGTCCCTAGCGAGCGACGCGCAAGTCAGCGGAGCGTTTCACACGTGGAAAAAAAAACGTGGGAGCCAGCGTCTGGGCCAACAATGAGAACAAGTGGACGCGACTAATCTCTGCTCCTTTTCGTGCTGGCAATTGGAGCGAGCGGGGGGGAAGAAAGCACGGGTCCTACGTGTTTTTTTCCCTCTCTTCCTAATATTATTCCTCCTGAACCAGCACGTTTGAACAAATCTGTCTCTTCTCTGAAAAAAGTAATCAGATATTGCTAGTGGAAGGTGTCTACCTTGATCTGGAGCCCATTTTTTTTGCAGGACCCGTTAATTGATTGAACTGCGTGGTTTTCTCTTACTCCCGAAGCGCCGGAGCTCTCATTGTTCTCGTCTCACAGCCGCTGTCGCGCATGCTGGAATGCAGGGTTACTATAAACTATATTTATTTTTATTTATTTTACCAGGATAAGGCCGACTGTGCTATCTA